GACCGCGGCAGCCTCCGCCCCTGCCCCCGGGTGCTTTGTACGGGAATGGGGCCATAACGGGACGAAAAGCGGAGTTTTTTCTCCCCTCCGCCCGTGCTCCACTCGCTGCGGCGACGGGATCTGTGCGGGGCAGTGGGCACCTCTCCGGCAGCTTTGGGGGGTGAGAGGGGCTGTAAAACGTGTGGGTTCAGTGAAACGCTTGCACAGGGGGGGGGCTGTAAAACGTGTGGGTTCAGTGAAACGCTTGCACAGTGTGGTGGTGTAAGTAAGCGAAAGTAAAAGTAAGCTTTTGAGTTTGTGGGTTTTTTATTTGCTTTGGGCTTTTTGGTTATTTTTTAAGCATAGAGCTACAGAAAACATTGCGAAGATGCAGGGTGTTTATCCGTCTGGCAGTGGAAGTGGATAGTGTTATTTTGCAATTCCTGTAGGAAGACTGTGCTGGAAATACCAAATTGTGGTGCAAACTCCTCCATGTAGTTGGGTCCCGACAGTACCTGTAACGGCATTACTGGGCTGCTGCCCTGGCTGCTGGGGGCAGATGCGCAAATGCCTGTGTCTAAAATGAAATTCCTGGAGGAAGCAAGCTAGAAACAGCTAAATCCAAAAATCCTGCTGCAAGCAAGGAGAAGCAGGAATCTGAGCTGGGCAAGCCGAAAGGTTTTACAGCATCAGTTGGTACCATCACTAGCCTTTGCGTAGGTTTTTGCGCCAGACCCAGCCCTCGGCCCTTTCACCCCACCCTGCTCCAAGGGCCTCCTAGGGAGCAGCTCGCCGAAATGAATCACTGCTCCAGCAGTGCAGTGTCAGTCCTAAAGCTTTGCCTGTTCTGCACTTCGCTTCTGCCTTTGCTAGCAGGTACGTCCCCTTCAGCTGACAACACCCCGGGCTCTCTGCCCACACGCTCAGGGCCACTCAGCCCTGCTGGGACTCAGATGCGTTTGTACCTGGATGCTGTGTGCAGGTAGCTCGCTTGTTCTCGGTGCTTTACTCTGCCGAAGGTAAGCGTGCACCCAAGCCTTTGACAGGGCTGACAGCTGTTTGTGGCATGGTTTGTGCCATGAAGAAGGGCAGCATGCTGAAAGGTGTCTGAATCTTCCTAAACAGTTACCGTGCAGGATTCAGGTAGAAGAGCGAGGGGAAAAGCTGCATGAGTGAGGTCTGGGGTGTGTGCTGGGTCTGTGAAACTGAGACTTTAACTTGCAATCCTGCCAGCACACATACTTTCAATTTTGAGGTAGAAGGCAAGGAATTTTTTAAAATAATGTCTTTAAAGTTAGTGTCATAAGGAAGGCTGGGATAAACAATTTATGTGGAGAAAAAAATAAGCTTTTTCATTGTGACTGATTTTTTTTTTTTTAAGAAGATGCACAGGCAATGAAATTCTTGCTCTTTCTGTACCCAGATGAAACCAGATTAACCCAGTCTGTACTGTGTGAGTGACAGAAGGTTAGGGTAGGTTTTCGAAGAGCATTTCTCGGTGTCCTTATTGACTGTTTTATTTTTCAGCCGTAACCATGGAGAGCCTGCCTAATGCCAACAGCAGATTTGCACTTGATCTGCTCAGAAGATTTAATGAGACCAACCCAACAGGAAATGTTTTCCTCTCTCCTGTCAGTGTCTCTGCTGCCCTGGCCATGGTGCTTTTAGGGTCCAGAGGTGATACTGAGGCCCAGATGCTGAAGGTTAGTAAGAAAAAATAGTTCTCTTTTGCTGTATATTTTATGTAGATTAAAATTTGCTATGTTTTAGAGGAGGGAAAATTGAAAGGAAGGTATTATTTTTACGTGCTCAGGACAAGATTTCTCTCACGCTCACTGAGCATTCCTCAGGCTCTTTTCTGCAGTTACCTTCTGCCTGCCCTGCTCCAGGGCATTCTTTCCATATTTGCTATGGCTCTTGTTTCTCACTTACTTTCACTTATTAAGTTAATTGCTGAAGTAGGAAACTAATTTCATTAATTAGTCAGTCCCCATTTAAACTGGAGTTAGCAGCAGCAAGGCCTTACTAGCTTTTGTGAGACATTTCAACAAAGAGCGATTGCTTTGTAATACAAGGTTATGAATGCTATGTGTATTTATAATAATTTTGTAACAAACACAATAATAATATATAGTTTAAAGCATAACAACTATGATAATATATGATGATGCTACCTAAGCATCAGTGTCTTAGTAACAGCCAGGCACTCAGGTATCTCAGAGGAGCTGAGCTCACATACTTATCCTTACCCTAGCCTCAAGTTAGGTAGGGCAGTTTAAAAAAAACTAATTACCAATTGCGAAAACAGCATATGTAGGAGTGTGCCAGTTTCCCCTCAGGCCTCCTGCATGGAAGGGACTCAGTCACTATTATTTTTTGCCTTTGTTAGGCTAACGCCCAGTAGTGCAAAAGGGCGTATGAGACATCATCATGTATTTGACTATAAGTAATTTCACCTTTGAATTCTGGACTTTAAGGGGAAATGTTTTATACTGTTGAGTGCTTACTGAATAAGACAATAAAATTATTTTCTCACTACTCGTACAAACAGACTTTGAACATAAATTTCATGCAATCAAACTGACAGCCACGCCTAGGATAAACTTACTGACAGCAGAAATCGTACAAAAGGGACTTTGGGGGAGGTGAAGGGGATGTGCTTCACCACAATTGCCTTCAATAATGCCTGTTCCCATGCCATAATGCTGTCCTTATGAAAACATAGCTAACTGTCAAGGGCTGTTTGCAAGCGCATAGGAATTTGTTTCTGTGATCATAATCCGACTGTAAACTGCCTCTGTGATGGTTTTGCTCACCTGTTTGTATGCACAACACAGCTTGCATTCATGTGGGCAGCAAGGCCTGACCAAAAACCCAGTGAGATAAAATATAGCTTTCCTTTGAACCCAGTGGTTGTTTCACAGCAGTCTTCCCTAGTGAGAAATACACGATTTAAGTTTTAATCTTTGCTGTCAGTGAGGTCTGGCAGCTCCTACTGTTGTATCTGTAAGCCTTAGCTAGGCAGCTTGCCTTGTGGAGAGGAGGTACTGGTAAAGAGAGACTGCAGTGTTGCAATTGATTTTTAGGATGATGCAGTTGGGTTTTAGATGTTTGTATA